TTAAAGCTGTTGAGCATCCCATCATTACGTGCAGTGAGTATTACAGGCTCCTCCTCTGTGATGTTGATGTTGGTCTGTGCCTGAAGATCTTTAGGATATCCAAATCGACACTCTTGCTTGCCATTACGTGTACGTAGGCAGTAGGACTCTGAACAGCGAGTGTGTCGTTGGCACGTGGCTATTAGATCAGTCAGGTCTTCCTCTAAATCTGTTACTTCTGAGTATGGCTTGTTGCATATATGTGGATCAACTTTAGGTGGTGGAGCATCACTGACATTACTGCCATCAGGAAGGACAGCAGGATTGATGGTAGAGATTATCTTGTCAGCGTACTCAATGATCTCTTGTTTAGTTGACTCCACAAGATCAGGTGATGATGAGAGAAGGTCCTCAACATTAGGAGCATTGGGTAGCCAAGCTAGTCCATGTACATGAGGACTACCACGATGTTGCCACTCAAACCTCATCCAGTAGTCTGTGGCTTTAAGAGTATGGATATAAAAAGCATCAACAAACTTCTGGATCCTATAGTAGAAGAACCAGTCTGCTAAAGCAGGGTTATCAATAACAGCTTTCACACGAGCTTGCTTATTGTCTGGATCTTCAGGACAGATGAGGCTAGCTAACTCAGGCCACTGGTGATCAGCAGCACTGTGAGTGAAGAAGATGGTGGGCAGTCCTAGAGTGTCAATCATAGCAATGAGATGGTTCCTCTCTCTAAACCAGTACTGCCTGGTACCACGTAGACTTGCTCCATAATGAACGACTTTATTTGAAAATGATTCTCCTTCACGACCAATCATGTCACGAAGATCATCTACAGTAAGGTGAGCTTCACCAGGATGTTGTCTGATGTAAATTCGCCCAGTTTCATTAGCACGCCATCTCATCTCAGTATTGAGAGCAAAGAAACGGAACCGAGGGTGCTTAGCGAATCTCCCATCGTCATATTTCATGAGGTGAGTGAAGTAATTACCAACTGTGACTGAATTCATACGTATACCATTGAAGTCTGCAGCACCTACATGTTATAAACATAAATAAATAATTATTATAAAACGCCATTATAATCTTACCAGTAGGAAATAAAGTAGGGAATGCCATTGAGAAGTATCCCTCAGTCTGGAACTCATTGATAGGAGTTCCTCCAATGCTTGGCCACATGAGATGAGATGACTGTGGCTGTCCTAAGGATTGTACTGCTTGCTCAATGGTTTCCCTCTCAGTAGCTGGTGGTGCAGCATTAGGTACAAATGATGATGAATAGTGTTCTTCAGTACTAACGTCATCTGGTGTTACTTCTCCCTGAGACTCTGCAGGCTGAACTGTGCGAAGGTCAGTAAGATCTCCATCTTCAGGTAAACTGGCCAATGTGTTCTGATCTACACTGACTCCAATACTCCTGTAATAGATGTTATTAGCCAGCAACCATGTAAGGGCTTCTTCCACAGCTCTCCTACGGACACGAAAGTCTCTATGAGTCTGTTCCTTTTCCTTCCGAACAACCAGAATATCTACCTCAGATGGCAGTCTGGGTAATGTGGTAGCAAAACCATGTACATCTTGAGGAAAATTAATGACATGGCCACTGTAGCCATATTGTCCATGAGGTAACCTGTAAATGGACATAACAGGCATTACAGCAGATATCAGCATTTCCTCTGTTTGACTGAGGCTCTAATAATAACAAAAATAATTTAATGGTTTAATTAATGAGAAACAAACCTGCAACTGTAGTGGTACTGGTCCAGGGTCCATGTTGTTTGCACTGGAGTACCTTTTGGGAATACTCTTGTCATGAGCACATCTACTGCACTCATTGATACCATTTGGCTGAGAGGTGACTGATAGAGTTGGAAATCTTTCTAAACAGGTGTCACATTTAGCAGAAGTAAGAGATGAAAGACATTCGTGAAATTTCAACATATTAGATGCATTTTCTTCACCATCCTCTA